CTTCATCAAGCAACCTGACTGGTATGTGGAAAGCTGCACACGTTTTTAAGTAGCAGTGCTGTTTTGAGTTTGGGTGTCCCTGCTTTGCTTCCTGCATGCGCTAGGAAGCCAGCATGTGATTTAAAGATCGATGGTCGGTTAATTGCTTGCTTGCATGTTTGAATTGTCACAGTTGCTGAGGATCATCCCGGACAAGACGAACTCCACGTTGACCATCGAGGATTCTGGCATCGGTATGACCAAGAATGAGCCTCGGAAGTGCACTGGATGCTAGACAGTTTTCTGTGTCGTAGGGAGCGGGGGCCACGGCTGGGAACATGCAAAGTGTACGTTGTGGCAGACAGGTGTGAACAAGGTTCCTGCAGGTGAGGATTGCAAGATGCCTTTCCTTGCACTCAGTGACTTTGCCACCATTGAAGATGCCGAGGAGGGGCACTCGAGGCCCCCTAGTGCCTCACCGTGTCAAGTTGCTGCGTTGGTGGGCTCACGTGTGGGTTCATCTGAGTCGCAGGCTGCCTGCCTTAAGGGTTCCGTTGGGTGTAGGGTTGTTTGTAGTGTTCCTCCCTCTGACCCCCCTAACACCCCCAGCGCTACGGCCGGTCCCGCGCTGGGCCCCTGTGAGGTTCAAGCCAAGGTCCTTACGGATGAGGATTGCAAGATGCCTTGCCGTGCTCTCAGTGACTTCGCTACGATTGAAGAGGCTGGGGAGGGGCACTCAAGGCCCTCCCGTGCATGGCCCACGCCAGCTGATGCGAGGATGTTGAGATCTAGGCCAGATCCCTGTGATGATGGCAGTGTCTTGGCCTCAACTGACATGCGCGCTACGCTCAAGCCAACTCGTTTTCGGCTTCGTGCCAAGACAAGACCTTGGTTGACACTTGCTTCCCTTAAAGGGCAAGGGGATGCTGGAGCTCGCACTGCTCAGGCTCAGGACTCTGAGGGGGAGTCCCTTCCTTCACCTCCCAAGAGGCGCCGCTCCCGAGCATCCATTGCTGCAGCCCAAACCCGCACCTGGGAGTGCGACGTTCCTGATTGCTGTTATGTGGTCTCTGGTAATGCTAATAAGGTTGCCAAAGCCAGATATGACCACAACCGTACCTGGCACGGAGGGGCTGGGCAGGTTGGCCGGCTTTCGTTTGAAAAGGGTGTACTGCGCCCAGTGCCGCGGTCTGAGCTGCCGAAGGGCCAGACGTTTGGATGGCAGTGTCCAAGCTGTGATGCTGGTTTCCGCGTGACAAATGGGATTGCACTCATGGATTAGCTAGAGCAGAGTCCACCAAACGTCACAAAGCAGCGATGCATCCTGAAATCCCCCTGAAGGAGTGGCGTTCTCTCCTCAAAAAGAGGGATAATGGCAGGGTCTTTATCCGAGGCCGGAGACGAGGCATGAAGCTGAACCGTGAGGCTCACGCCTCTCAGGTGCAAGGATTTGAGAACTTTCTGTGGCCGGTTTGGCGTGAGAATCGCAGCACGGTGACGGCCAGGCGTGCGTGGCGCTGTGTGAAGTGCCTCCAGTGCTTCTACCACAGGCAGCAGGTCCGCAAGCACCGTTGCAGTGGTGACTCCAGTCACCTGGACCCTGAGGTTCGTAAGAAGCGTCTTCAGGCCTTGGATTTGCTTAAGCCCCTTGCGCCCCAGGCGGGCTACGAGCCAAAGGACTTTGAGTGCATCGTGAGCCGGTGCTGCAATGCTTTGCTTGGAGAGCCTCTTTTGCCTTCATTAGAGTAGCCACCTTAAATGTAGGCAAGGGCGGGGGGGCCTATTGCGAGCCCATTCGCGCCAAGATTAATGAACACTCTATTGACCTGATTGCCCTTCAGGAGGTAGATCTGAACCCTGAGTGTGGGCTTTCGTTTCAGTCTTACTCTGGCCAGTGTGCCGATACAGGTGCCTTGTTGGAGACAGTGTGCAGTGCCATTTCGCCTTTAGGCATGCCCTTTGTGATGGCCGGCGACTTCCAGTTTCAGCCGTGGGAAGCGCCGCTTGCGAGCGCCCTTGCTCGTGGTTTGTTTCGTGAGCTTGATGATTGCCGTGTTGGGGTTGTTCCATGTACAGGCCCCGGCAGGACTCGGCTTATCGACTATGCGGTGGCATCGCCCCCTTTGCTGCCTCCTGTGCTCTTACTTTTGAGGGCACTGCGGACCACGCCGGTTCAGGGCGTCACCTCACCACCGCCTTTTCTGTGTCACCAGTGGCCTACTGCGCAGAACATGGCACCGGATGACATCATGCATGCCTTTCCTCTTGCTAATTTCGAGGTTGCGTTCTCGCAAGCCCGGTCGTGTGATCAGCAGTGGCGGGTCCTTGCTTCCTTTGCGGATGCGGCCCTGACAGGCTGCGATGTGGACTCTTCTTCTCGTCACTTGCCCTGGGAGCCTGCTCAGCAGTTTCGGGTGGTCCATAAAGCGGCCAGTCGTTTTGAGCCCCTTTCGCTGCGTCGTCTCAGGCGTCTTCTCCGGCGGCTCTCTCACGCCGCTTTGCATGGTTCTCATGGCACTTTGGACTCGGCCATTGCTAGAGGCGTTCGTGACTTGTGCCCTGCCTTTCCGGCCCTTCTCCCGTTGTCTCGTGGTGGCTGCACTCATGCTGGTGCCCAGCTTGTTCGGCGGTGTATTGATGAGTTCGAAAAGAACTTGTCTACTCAGCGCGCTAAGGAGTGGAAACGTAAGGTGCAGGACTCCCCTGCGATCCAGCGGGCCTGGATTAAGAACCGTGCGGACTTGTCTGTTGAGCGCGCGTCAGGCCTCGCCCCTCTCTGGAGGCTGCCATGCCTCGTCAGCTGCATCCGGAGTCGGTTCTTGAGCAAGAGGTGCCGCGTTGGCAAAGGCTGTGGACTGCGGCTCAGGATTTGGATGTGCGTGTGTCTCAGGTTCAGAGCTTGTTGTCTGAGCTTCCTGCGGTCGATTCTGTTCCGTGCGCTTTCCACTTTACGGTTGAGGCTCTCCAAAGGTCGATGCGTAAAATGGTGGACAAGGCCCCCGGCCCTGATGGGTTCGCTGCTAGTCAGCTGCTTGCGCTACCGCGTTGCTGGTGGGCTGCGTTTGCAAGGCTATGGCAACACATCCTTGATTGTGGGGAAGTTCCCGCCATTTGGAGGCGCTCCTCTGTTTCTTTGCTCGCAAAGCCTGTCAGCGGTTTCCGGCCCATCGGACTGACTGCCCTTGCTTGGCGCTGCGGCGCTCGCCTGCTGAGTTTCGGACTCAAACCTTGGGTTTCGGCGTGGGCGGCTGACCAGGGTTTTGGGGGTATTCATGAACGCTCCTGTTCTGATGTTCATCGGAGGGTGCACTACGCACTTCGTCAGGGCACCTCGTCCTTCATTCAGGAGGACATTAGCAAGTTCTTTGACTCGGTTCATCTCCCACTTGCCCGTCTTGTTCTTGAGCACTTTCAGATGCCTTCTGCTGTCATCCGCCTGCTGTGCTCTTTTTATGATGGGCAGGAGCGGCTGCTGCGTTACCGCGGCTTCTGTGCTCGCAGTTGGGTCAGGGCCAGCTGTGGCCTGGTCCAGGGTTGCCCCCTGTGTCCGCTGATAGGTTCCGCAGTCATGGCTGTTGGGCTCGTTTCATCGAAGGACCTTAGGTTTTTGGTTTGACCTTCCAAGATGACAGAACCCTCGTGGCGCGGCCTGCCTCTAGTGAGGTGCAGTTTCAGGCGTTGGCCTTGGCTCGTCGGCGCTCACGGGTCTTTGATGAGGCTTTTGGCCTGTCATGTGACCCTGGCAAATCTACTGTCGTTGGGGATGCAGCGTTCCAGCCTCTTGCAGACCAACTTGGCTACTCGCGCTCCACCGAGCTTGCGCTTCTAGGGGTTGTGCATCCCCTCGACCCCGTGGCCTCCAAGACCTTGTCTAAAATCTGCTTTGAGATGGTGCGTGCCAGGATGACTTATATCCCGGTTGTGACTTCCAATCCTAGGCTAGTAGTCCATCATCTTCGTAGCCTTTGCTTTTCTCAGTTTCTTTGGACTGCTGGCTTTGCTCAGCCCAGTGCTCAGGAGCTTGCCTTGCTCCGAGAATATATCAGGAATGCGCTGCGTGCCTCACTGACTTTTGAGAGCCCTCCCGTTCTCGTCCACGAAGTCAACGACTGGTACACAAGCCCTGATTTTTGCTGTGATTGGGCAGCGCTGCAGACTGCGGTGCGGATGCACTGCCGTCCTAAAGAGTGGCAAGAGTTCTTGCCCTTGCCAGAAGTGAGCGAGCCCTGGCATAGAGCCA